TGTATGTATGTATGTATGTATGTATGTATGTATGTATGTAACTCTCCAAACGCCACGCGTTATCGCATATTCCGTCGTCTAGACTAAACTGTCATAACGCATTCACCCCACCCCACGCCGCGCTCATCACACGATGACAACACTATTCCTCTGTATAAATTTANAGTTATTGGGTTAACCTATAGCTGTTGAAATTGGTAATTTGTATTTTTCCGTAATAAACCGTTTACCAACCAATCTAGTATTTAATATATTACCTATAATGAATTAAGATAGTACTAACATGTACCTATTCACGTTTATTTCATTTATGTTTTAACGATTTGAAAACAATGATTGTAAGATTATTTTATTACTGCATAAAGTTTATTGTTTATTTATAAAAAATATAACAGTATCTAATAATACACTTATCGATTGTATGACTATGACATTTAATTTATGTAAGAACTTAAAAGTGTCAGTAAAAATATTCGAGTAATAGTTTGGAAGTTGGAAGGAGCAACTGGGAGGGTAGGGGTTTTAGTTGCATTATGTAATAATTAGAAAATACATATACAGTTAAAACATCACAATATTTGTATTCCGTCCCCCAAAACTATGTTATAGTTAAGGCCTTTGAAAAGTAGTGTGGGGGTGAAATTCCCCACGTTTCCTCATTTAGGTTTTTAACTTATCTATTGATCAAATTACGACTATATCACTGTTGATAATGTGAAATATTGTATGTAGAAAATATAAAGTGCAATGGGGGGTGTGGGGGGCAGAGCCCCCCACGTTATTCTCTATTCATTATATAGGCGTATACCCATAAACATTTTTAGGACTACACCACTGATCCTAATATACTATATTTGTTCGAATAACAACATAATTAATTAGGTTATTTAATAGATAAAATGGTCTTAATAAGATAATGAATTGTCAATAATAAATTTAGACACTATTTCAAAAGTTATTAACATTTTAGTGTGATGATTGAACATAAATTAAGAACACGACGGTGTTATATAATTACATAATTTTCTATATAATAGATTACTTAATTATGCATGTTCGCATTTGAAAAAATAAAGGTGACACTCATATAAGGTAAAAGGAATGAGTATACAAACTACTTATTTCTTTATAAATTGAAAATATATGTACCTAAAAAAAATTAAAAAAAAATTACCAATATTATTATTATTTTTGAATTAATTAAGCATTAAATGAAAATGAATCACATTGTTTAATTAAAAATTGACTTTTTAAAAAATTTTATCATAGTAAATTACTGAATTTAGGTAATTTATTTAAAACAAATGGTTTGAAAAATTATTTATGTATAATTGCAATATTATAAACACATTAGAAATAATTACTTATCTACAACAAATAACATAAAAATTATGGTAACTTCAACGAAACATGAAAATAAAATTATTAACAGTTTGTATGATTATATACTTGGTTCATAGTTATAAATTAAAAAAAAAAATTACTAATAATGTATTTTCAAAAAATAATGAAGGTTACTTATAAAAATAAGAAAAATTACTTTTCAATTTATAATTTTGGTTTCATATGACTTTTTTAAAATACAGAATATTTAAATTGATATAAACCAAGTTGAAACCAAACTATTCAAAGTTGTTGTTTTGGGTAATTGATAATAATTAGTTTCCAAAAACTTATTTACCTCAAAATTTAAAAAACTTCCCAACCTGTATCCTTCATTTTACAAAAATTCAAAACCAACATTTAGTATTATTCAATTTTTTATTTTAGAACTCTTAAAAACTTTTTAAAAAATGATAGCAATAAAAATTTGCTACCATTTTTAAAGTAATTTCGTAATAATTATTTAAATTAAAAAAATTACTTCACGATGTAAGTTACTAATTTTTCTAAAAAAAAATATTTAAAAAATACTACATATTACATTTTTTGAATAAATTAATGATGGACATTTTTTTTTTTTTGAATATTTTTTTTTATAAAAATAAGATGATATTAAAATAAATAACTATAAAATATACAACAAAATAAAACTAAAAAATTCTAATCGTTTTGTGATATGTTAATAAAAATATGAATTCTCAGTCAAAAAGTTAAATATATTTTTAAAAATTCAATGATTTGATAATTTTATCATGGTTTTATCTAAAAAATAATTGAATGTTAAATCTAATATTAAGATAGGTTAAGCAAAGCAAATTTATACTGGGAAAACTTCACTCGGTGATGATGTATTTCTGAAAAAACAATTAATTAATTAATTAATTAAACAATAACTAAAATAAATTATACTTATAATTCTTCTTCTTTTTCCTCAACTACTTGGGGTCGGCCACCCTTATCCTAAACTCCCACTTGAAACGACTTCCCACATCATCTACGCTTATATTAGCCGTCCTTATATCGCATTCATTAACACACTTCCATTTTCTTTTTAGTCTTCCTTTACCTCTTCTTCCTTCAAAATCCATTTTTATAGTTGTTCTTACAGCTTTCGATTTCTCTCTCCTCATAACAAGCCCAACTATTATACTCCCTCTTATATTTTTGTTCCTTATCCTAGTCCTTCTCTAGTCACTCCACTCATCCATCTAAATTTTCTCATCTCTGCTACACTCGTTCTTTGTCCTATTTTCTTGTCAACCGTCCATAATTTATAAATATATTATAAATAATTGAATACTAACGTTCTTTTTTTTAAAAGAAAATCCAATTCGTGTCTTTGGTAGTATGTAATGAAATCTTTCGGTTGAACGCCTTCAAAAACTGCTACAACACTAGGTTTCAAGTTATAAAAAAATAATTGTTGACCTCTTTTGGAAAAATCTTTGGTTAGTATTTCAATGACCTGAGTTTGGTAAAAAACAAATGTTAAAAATTAAAAATTACTACTTAAAGAGTTTAAAAAACTAAAACTATAGTCGCCAAACGCTGATTTACGTTAAGTTTAGAATTACTTTATAATTTTTCCGTAAAAATTACAGTGCTAAAATATTAAATATCAATTTTATACTATATTTTATAAAATTAAGGTTTTTAAAATCTGTAAATTTCGATATTTTTTAAACTTTTTGAAAAATGAATGAATTAAAATATTTTTTATATAAAAACCTTTGGTATTTTGGTATCATTGGATATAAATTGTTAAATATTTGACCCTTTAATTTACTTAAGGAAGGTATTTAAAATAGCAAAATTTTTACAATAGTCAACTATTTCAACTTAATTTTTGAAATTGTTCCAAAAATATTGCGTCCTTTAAATATATGTTAAATTATAGATTATATTACGTACTATAAGTTAAAGAAATAATTTTGTCTACACACCTTATCTTCTATGTGAAAATGGTTGCCGTAGTTAAAAACATGCTATTTTTGCAAATTTTAATTTTTTTGTTTATTTCAAAATAACTTAGGTATGCCATAATAATGAGTCTAGCAATTTTATAAATGTACATGATCTAACTTACATTAAATATAAATTTAAACTTATTTTGATTATTTTACTTCTTCATAGTTAAGAAAAAAGCTACTTTGAATTTTTCAACTAATTTAAAATGTTATCTTTAGCTACAAATTTTACTAATAATCGGTGGCTGTGTGGAAACTGGGTTTAGAAAAGTATATTTTTGACTGTGATGAAAATTCCTTGTAGACCGTTTATTTATAATTAACAACAAATGAAAAGTTTTGTATCAAACCCTTCAATTTTAATACGCCTTTGCCATAAAAGTAACAACTACTTTATTATTTCTCCGTAAATGTACAATACTATATTATTGAATATCAATTTCATACTAAATGTAATTACTATAATTAGTATTTTATTCATATATTATATTTTTAAGTCAAAGAACTATTAATCAGGATATAATTAAGGAAATAGGAGTTGATGTTGCTTTTGTAAATATCCTCTAATATCTTAGAATTAAACACTTTTTAGACATTTGCATCGAAGCGTTTCTTATGATAGTAGTTTTAATCACTATCAGATATCATCTATACTTGTGCCAATTATGCCACGACCATACTGTACTACCGTCTTTTTTATTTATGTTAATTGGGATTTAAACAGAATAGCGTCACAACATACATTACAGCAGAGAAAGATGGTTTAACAGAAATTTAGGATTTTACTGGGCATTTCTGTACTGCGCCCTTATTATTTATAAACAGGATCTCCTACTTTACTCTATTATTCACTAATATATATATATATATATAATAAGAACTTAATATTTTAATTTGTATTTTCAATTTTTATTATCACTACATAATTAGATGATGTAAATATTTTGTTGGTGAAAATTAACTATAAGCGATTCGAATGACTTTTTTTTAGGCTTCGAGTCCCGAATGGAAATATTTTTATTCGACATTTGCTAGACACGAATGAATGCGATTATATAAATCTGTTACTTAATTTAGTTTTCACAATGTAAAAATAAAATCAGTACGTATTACAAGTACAAGCGAAAGTGAAACTTCTTTTAGAGTCAATCAACTGATAGAATATTAGGTTTATATATAAATAAAATAAACAAAAATACAATAGAATACGTAAATAAAATCCCTTTGGCGAACGTAAACGTTCATGGAAATATATAATATTGATCGTATACTTAATAAAACAATAGAATCTGTTCGTGACGTTCAAACGTTATAGACGAATGTGATGCACAGTTATCTTTTTTTTTCAGAAACTGTAAAGAATTTTCACTTCAAAAAATAGTTTTATGAAATCTATTGTAGTAGAATTTAAATAAATGAACTTATATAAAAGATCTTTATAAAGAGTGTTCAGTAAGTAAGGAAACTGGTTTTTATTGTTCTTAATGTTTGTAACGACTGACCTGTTTCCTTACTTACTAAATCTCTATATATTTAATTTTAACTTTACCTTTGCAGCAGTAAAATCTGCACCATAAATATGTGAACAATCAATTACTACTGGTAAATCACGTTTTAAACTATGTTTCACAACTAAATTTCGAACATAATCTACTGAAGGAAACACTAAGCATCTGTCTGGTGTTACCATCAAGTAACTTATACCATCTCTAGTCTGAGGAAATTGGTAAATTTTAATTAATTGTTACAATTTTTTAGTAAAAACTCAATAAAATATCAATAAGGTTAATATATATTATAATACTAAATATAACTTTAAAAATAACTTTTCATAAAAAGCAATATCATTTTTGCATCTGTTTTATGATAAAAATGTATTTTATTTCGGATTTATAATTTAATTAAACATTGAAAAAAATTAGTACTACGTTACCTTTAAATTTAACTATCAATAACACCGGCACACACAAAAAAAAAAAGTTGTCTGTACTTTTGACCGGACCCACCTACGGACATGTATTTTGATCCGTTGAATCCGAATTTGAAGTCCGTTTGGCCCGGTCACCCTTCAGATTTGAGTAAAATGCAAAAAACCAAAAAATTGGCAAAAAAAACCAAAAAACTGCAATCAAAGCGATGAAATAAATTTTGTTGACCCTGATCAAGTATGATTTTCATGTATTTCAATTTACTGAAACTGAATCTGAACGTTAATTAGCCTGTTGAGTCGTCAAAATTTGAAAAATAGCAAAAAAACACAAAAATTGCAATAAATCATGAAAAATCGAAATTATTGAGATGAAAACAATTTTTTGGATTCAGATTGATTATGATTTTTATGTATTTTATTCCACTGAATTTGAATCTGAAGTTTTCTTGTCCCATTAACGTTTTAAAATAAAAAAAAACCCAGCACAGGGGGGTCGCGGCACAGTTGTGACGTGGTATAGTTGGATCAAGTATAATGATATCTGACAGTGATTAAAATCACTATCAAAAATAAACGCTTCGATGCAAATCTTTAGATAGTGTTTAATTTTAAAAAAATTGGTGTTTTATTCCAAAAGCTACTTGATCTGCTGGTTCCTTAATATCTCGATTAAGATAAAGTATGTCGAATGAAAAAGGGTTTATTAAAAAAAATTATTTCTCATAAAAAAATTGTGTGGATCCATAAACTTTTCAATAAGTTATAGCATTATAAAGTTAAATATAATATGAATAATAAAATCGAGAATTATCACACGAAAATAGCATTCGGTAGCCATTTTCGCCGTGAAGAAAAGTCCAGAGGTCAAATTTTTTTTTTTC